TATATAGAAATAAGTGCCTAAACCATCCTAAACCCATAAACCTGTGATGCCATGATGGTCTTGACATGTCTTGACCTTGACCAGTTTAGTAGGTTACAGTATCTTTCACGAGTTCGTTGAGGGTCAAAGCCACTGAAGTGGACGCACTGCGAAGGTTAATCAGTTGTACACTCCCTGAAAAAATCATGGACGCGGAAAATGGCCGGTTGGATGACCATTTTTCTCTACCAGGTGGTTTTTCAACTTCCATGTCCATTTTCCTCGGAGTAAATTCCCATCCGTTTGGCAGAGGGAAACACTACCCACAGACCCGGACAAAAACCGGGGAGTGCCCTCTGAAGCCCTTCTAGACACCCATCTGCACAGCATGGCCATCCAACCACCGCTCCGAAACCGCGCGGCATACGGCCTATTCTCAAGGTGTCATCCTCCCGGTTGATCTGATCTTTCAACCAGCAGAAGCGGGTCGTTCCATAAGGCACCTCGGAACCGTCCGCGTCTTCGTCGTGACTGCTAGGTCGACCAACCAACAACGTCGGCATGCGAGGATGAGTTGACGCAAGTCACGAGAGTCCAAGTTTGACTCGTGATTTCACCCTTGCCAGGTAATTAGTGGTGGATTATGACTCCCAGGTGGGGTAAAATGAGTCATTGGAAGTTCTGGGTAACACATGAAACAACAAGCCCACTTGGCCACTTGGTCTGGATAAGCTCATCATAGTTCATCTTGTTTCATCTTTGTCCTTTCTGAAGCTGAACGCGAGCCGAACGTCTGAGCCAGCTTGCACCATTGGAGTTCCAGAATATGCCATCACATGGAAGACGAGAGTATGTGAGATTCATTGCTGCTGCTTGACTTTCGACTGGTGAAACTTGCATCAGGACAGATGAATAGTTCATCAAGGGAAGCTCAGGGCAGCCAACCCCCAAAATTGGGTGCCTCAACGGATGTCGTTCTCATCGGCGCACCATCAAAATGTTCGTTCCCAGCATCGGAGTCGTCCCCAAAACTCATCCGCACTCATCACCGTCGGATCCGAACGAGGAAGGACTGGCTATGGCAGCGAAGGACGAGATGTCCCATGCTGCCAAGCCCACCTTGCCGTTGAAGACCTTCTCACAGGTTTGGGACTTGCCTCACCGAAACAAACGAGGCAAACCAAGGCAGACCGATGCCGTGGTGCCCGGCAGGGTGCCCGGCAGGGGGGGTTCGCTTTGGGGTGCTTTTGGGCATGAAGGAGTGGGTTTCAGTTTGAGTCATGGTGTGCCAGATCTGGATTTCAAGGACAACATGTGTTTAGGAAAGATTCGATAGTATCTTATAGCGAAGCTAGATCCCAAAAGGAACTGTAAACAAATTGCCAAACAACATCTGCACAATGAGGTTTTCTGGCATCAATGTCCATCCGATTCCATTCTGATTCTCTGTGCACAACTCTAGATGTTCCGGATAGCTCATCTCAGAAGACTCAGAAGCCAATGCCTTTGCACACATTTGGGTCACACATTTGGGTCACCTCTTTCTTTTAGAAATCATCAAATTGAACATCATCATCACTTTGAAATCAAACATCACTCGGGCCCCACCTCCGCAATGGAGCTTGTAAACCAAATTCCTTGATTCCAGGCCACGCGGGTCGGGCACATGGGAGCTCCATGGGAGCTCCCATCACCAACACGTGGAGTTCGCGTCACGTGTCTTGTGGAGAACTGTACCAGGGCCCAATGGGGCAACCTGGGAGGTGGACTCTGCCCACAGGGTTTTTGTCTACAGTCTCCCCTCTAAGGTCACGTGGTATCACATGGTGCCAGTCAGACTGGGTGTTTTTCCCACCTGTTCGTTTTTAGATGGGGAAACCAATCTCACAAAAAGGTTAAAGGTTGTCCACTGACTGGGTAAAATGAGGCGTGGTGTCATTTGCCATCTTGCCCTGCGCAACACGGCTCGTCCTCATTTCTGTTAGTTGAAGGATTTGCCCTTCGTTCATCAGGAGTTTTACAATCCTCAACAGGGCTGGCCACCCTTCGGGACCTAAGAGACAGGACCCGATCATAGGGTTCTTCAACTCAACCTCACCCAGGCACTCCATGTATGGCATATTTATCTACCTTTGGATGGTTTCAGAGGTCAATATTCCATACATTTACATGAAGTGTTCGGACACACTACCCAGTCTGCTCGGGCCAGCTGCAACCTTCACTCAGGCTCGCGCATGCCCTTGCAGGCCTCTAGCTGGGGAAGTGTCGCAGAAGCATGTTGCAGCGCTGTGATGAAAATAATCATCAAACATACCATGGAAAATCTGGGCACAAAACCATGCGGACTGCAGGACCAAACCAAAGACTGCAGACCTTCTTTTGACTTATAACGCAAAAACGTACGGGAGCGAAACTGCAAACTGTCCTTTTGGCAAAACAAACTGCTTTCCGCTTTGAAAAAACGACTCCCTTTCAATGAAGCGTTAGACCGTTAGACATTTCTCGCTTACAAGCTAAGCTGTCATTACGTTGCCACCCACCACCGCAAAGACAAGCGACATGCAATCCTAATCCTCGGAAACACACAAAGACAAACATATGAACGCTTGGAGGCGATCGGTTGGTGGTTGCTATCGTAGGAAGTCGGAGCCATAAGTAAGGTACAAAATAGTACAAGTAGTAGCGTCCTTGCTCCCAGTAGCGATGCCAGGAGCCCCTAGTGCCAGGAGCCTCTAGTAGCTTCTTGTTACTAGTAGTAAGGCCATAGGTGGTGACTGTCCATCAAGTTCACTGGTCGGTTCCGTCCCAAGATGCTCTTCGGGTGTTTGACACAAGAACGGGACTGCGCGCCAACATGCACCTCTCCCGACAAAATAACACGAACGAACCAGTAGAACTCACGTTTGAGCCCGTATAGTGGAATGTATGAACCAGCAGCAGCTCGTCCTATTGAATCCTATTGACTCATAAAGTCCACTAGGGGTATTTATATGCATCCACGTTTGATCCCTTCTTGATATTGCTGTGACAATGATCTTCCAAAAGTTAAATGTTTTTTCGAGTTGGCAAAACACCTATTAAACAATCGCAAAATGTTCCAAGCCATGTCGAGCAGTCAAACGATGAAAGAAACTGAGCTGGTGACCCACAAGTAGATCGCGATATCTCCGGACGACTCGCCATCAGCCTCAGAACAGTGGAGACGCAAAAGGCTCCCAGAACCCTTTGCTGACGTCCTTTGACTGTCTCAGATTTGAAAGACTCTCTCCAAAGATCTGGGTCAACAAAGGCAAAGATCCGATGCCGAAAAAGGAATTTGCAGGAGTTGTGAAACGCTTCAAAGAGTCTTGGGTTGTCCGGTCGGTGGTTCAAAAATTGCCTCGGGCACGTGAAAGGAAAAGGCCTTGTCACGGCTCCCGTGTCGAAACATCTGGAGCACCCACTCCAGCCACCTATAGGTGGCTTCTCTGAGTGCCGCACTCCCCAGTCCGAGGGCCTGGCAAACAAGATTAGACGTGTCCACCCACCAAACCACCCAAACAGTTGTGGATGTTGTGGCGCAATCATCAGCAGCACCGTTTTTCGGAACAACGCCGCGCACCGCGTCGTCACTTCGCAAAACTCGTCTGCAGAGGAGGCACCGCGCGGTCCGCTTCTCAGGCACTCGAACCCAAACGCGAGGGGCAGACGACCCTCCGTTCAGTAGGGGGGTCTGGACCCTCAAATCCGGATTTCAGGGACCGGTCTGCCTGTTTTGAGCAGAGGATCGAACAAAAGGAATGACCTGCGATTTTCTCCAGCACAAAGGTGGAAGGGAGAAGCGATTTCAAAGTCTGGTGGGGGTTGGGGAAGTACCTGAGAGGTTGCTTGGTCCAAATCTGAAGGTGCCATCAATCATCTCCCAAGACAAGCTCTCAGTTCGCTCTGACTGAGATTCTTGGAAGTTTGGGTCGTACAGAAATCTGGCAGTAAATGGTAGTACAGGTAAAATCTGAAAGCCATGTCAGGGGAAGGCGGTGCTTTTAACATCTCTCCGCGCGCTCAGGGGTGTTGATCTGGTCAGGGCTAGAATGGCATTCATTCTGCAAAAAGCTATCAGTCTAATGAGCTTTAACTGTGCACTTTGAGGCAAGCATATTATCATATATGCTTAATTCCTAGTCCCCATCAATGGATCTTTAATGACCTTTACTATCATCCTTAGCTGCAAAATAGAACTTGTCCCAAATGCTGTAATTACTTGATCCATGCTGGGCTTCTCTTGATTTTCATGCTCAGCATGCGATGCGCCCGCTCGGCTGGGGTGATCGCTCTTTTTTGGCTTCCATACACATAATTTTGCCGCGTTTCGCCCGGATCCCTATGACTCGATCAGCAGCATCCGAAGTGTGCTGGTCATGCGCTTCGACCCCAACAGCGCGTCCACCGAGCGAGAGCACAGAAAGAGCGACGTTCATGACGAGCGGATGTCGGTCCAACCAGCAGCTCCAATGGATTGCTTCTTTCAATGGATTGGAGCTAAACACATGGCCCTTGACCATGAAGTATATTATGAACAGGTCCAGGCTCCCCACTGGCGCCTCGCCTCTGCCGAGAGGCACCCTTTCTTTCGCCAGCAGCTTTGAGCAGTCTCAGCTGCACTGCTCCATGAGAAGCGGACTCTGGAGATGTGGCTGTGGGACACCAAGGAAACCGACTGCTTGACTTACGGTAGGTGTCGGTCGTTCGCTACATGGTGGACGGGTCGGACTCCAGGTTGAACGACCCATGCTCATGAGGTACAATATGTACAATGTGCTTGGAAGTTCAAGAGGTACCACCACATGCACACACCTGAAGACGGGGTCAGGGAACAGCACGGTGTTTCTTCGCCAGCAGAACAGTCGTCTTGTTCGGGCTTTCGGGTGCCGCTGTGATGGTGACTCGGGTCACGACCACCTCGAAGTGGATCACGGCCGTTCCTCCACCAGGTTCTCCTGCTCCGAGCGGCCCAAGACATCGTTCCTCCACCTGCTCCGAAGCTACGAGCTTGGGATGGCTTCTGCCAGCATGTCGTAGGTGGCACATCGCAGTTGATCTTCCAAGGCCAGGAATGTGGGATCATCACCTGACACGACTGCTCATGACACTTCGGCCGTCTGATACGCCTTACGGGGAAGCCTCCCCCGCCCTTTTCAAAGGCAAACATGGACCGAACCACCACATACAGGATTCATACATTCCTTCGTTCCCAGTGTAAGGTCGAACCAGTCAGTTTATGCGTATAATGTCAAATGTCCAACAAACCCCTCCTGGGAAAGGCATTCGGAAAAAGACGGGACTCGGACTATATGTACAATGTTATTTCCATCACTCATGACTGTCGCAGTGGATTTTGACCTTGAACTCTTGGAGGACATGAGATGATAAAAGCTCCAAGAAACGTAGAGACGGCAACTTGTCCACGTATAAAACACGCATGATCCATCTTTCACGGCTTCTGCGGTTGTTGTGGTGCTCGATCCCTGGTTTGATCCAAACCGTCAATTAAGCTCCACACCGACGTCATCTCTGATGTCCTGGATCACGAGGTCGGTGATCCTCGAGGATTCACAAGGAGAAAGCCATATCGCGAGGACTGTTTGATTCTTGAAACAGTACAAAAGAAGAGAATTTCTAGACGCAGCGAGCGCCAACATGCCTTCCCTCACCGGCTGTTTTCCCGCGGTGATGTGATTGACATCCTTTGCGCGGGTGGTCAACAAAGTCTGAATGTGTTGGTCACATTTCAACACCCTAAATCTGGGCATGCCTGTCTAGTAGCCCCAAGTCAAGAGTTACAGAATGCACAGTCTAAACATCAGACATCAGGAGTCATCGTTCCGACCTTCGTGCACGGACCGGTCGAGAAACGTGAGAGACTGGAGCGGACCGGTCCTTTTTCTCGAGGCTTTGTGATGCAGTTGGAAGACCAGCTGAAGTTCATGACTCGTACATGCTCACGATTTGATGCTTCTCCATGCTTCTCCTATATTTTTACCTTGCACTGTTAGCGTTTTTTCCTCCAAGCCGCTCTTCCCAGTGGCCGGCATCGTCGGCAGGGCCCACTTTGCTGGCCGCCGAGAGGATGCGATTCTCGTTGACTTGAGACCTGAAGCGATCTGATGCTTCCTGGACACGGAAACATCCCTGAAAAAACACCAGCTTCACCAGCGTCCACGTTGTTCAAAGAAGGAGTGGGGGGATCGTCAAGAGGTTTGTCATGTGGGGTACTGTACCCTATGTTTGAGCATAATTGTGCTAATTATATAGTTGTTAAAAGAACTGTAGAGACCACTGAAACCAATGGTTTGGGGGTTACTTTGTTTGAACTTGGAGAATCGCACATGAATACAATCAAGGGTGAACAGATTTGTGCAAAGGCCTTGGCTGGTGATATCATGTGATGCGATTTCAACCAGTTGGCTCCTTAGGTGATTCCTTCATGAAGAAACTCGTGGGAACTCGCAGCCGCCATGGTGACCCAAACTGATGGATACCCATGGTTTCATTGAATGCCCAAACACCCATGGTAGGGTCTCAGCTGGAAGTAGTACATGATATTTGGTTTGGTGGGGCGAGTCGGGTCGAAATCCAAGTTGTCCGCTCGGTCATTGGTCGAAATGCAAAAATACATGCAAACCTGGAGCTGTTGGTCTTAACAATGGACTTGACTAACTACTTGTGCTCGATTGGAATTGATTTCTATTTGCAAATGATCTTTTCTTGTGGCCCACGCTGACCGAGATGCCGTTGGAAAACAATTTTCAAGAAACAACCATGCAGTAAACAAGACCTGGAAATTGTCAAAAAAGAACCGTGACAGTTTGTGTTTGGTTCTTTTCCCCTTTTGTGTTTCCTGATCCTTTTTTGGTTCAAAAAAGCACCTCCCCGTCACCTTGATCAACAAACAACAAAGCTTGCTGGACTCTAGTCTGGCACACCCCAACGAAACGAGTGAGCCTTCTGACCGAGTAGCAACAAATACGTCTTCATCGAAGGATCTCCAGTTGAAGGTGCTGAGCCCTCACCCTCTTGGAACCTCAAACGGCCGTTTAGCGAGAGTTCCAAACAAAATCAGGGACCATACTCAGACTATCTCAAACGGCTGGACTCCTATCCACCAACCAAATCGCATGTTGACACGCCGACCCACATTCTCAAGGGCTGGAACCCACCAGCAAGAGTTACATATATCATATATAAGTATATATATACACATATCGAGTATTGTTGTATCATAGATCAGGTGTCAAGTCGACCTGGGCTTGGAACATCACCGGCAAACAAATGCCAGTTGCTTTTCCACAGAGCACAAGGAGCCTAGACGAATCACCACCAAACACTGCCCAGCTCAGATCGAAAGCCCTCAGCACCAAGCGTCTCCTGGATTTTGATCTTGAAAATGGGTCTCCTCTCCTTGGAGATGGGAGACATGATCCCAATGGCAAGCCCCCCAAGTTTGGAGGCCGGATAAGGCTAAGCATTACATGAGAATTAACATAGGCATTTCTGCAGTCACTGCACAGTCACACACCCATAGAATTGTCGACTCAACATTGCGAAGTCACACTATCTGTTCTCTCTCTCTCTCTCTACTTTTCTACACCCTTCTCTCAAACACCTCTGCCGTACATACTTTTCCCGCGAAGCTCTGCTTCTTTGCAGATTTGGCTAGATAACAAAATACCCTGCCGTACCTCTAACTGTCTTCAAATATGTCTAAAGCCAGTTCCTTGCCTACCGACTGAATTATTGCTGTTCTGCATGCGCGGGCAAAAACCTGCATCGTCACAAGGAAACTGCATTGTGCAGGTTTGGGGGACAAAAACTATCTATGCCCCATCTGAACGATCCAAGTCTCTATATAGTAGAGGTGCATTCCTCCTTCAACCTACGACAGCCAATTAGACTAGACCCATCGTAGACATTCGGCTGGCCTTGATTGATGACAATCGTTCACTACTTCACTCCTTACCTCCAGGCAACCTCGAATGCCGCAGAAGAATCAAGCGCCTTCCAAGTTGCCATGGGCGAAGTTTGGTCCCAAATCTTTGCCACAATGCCCTCGGCCCAGTTCTCCGAACTGAGCCGTGGCAAACCCAGCATTTCGGGCACCCGTGACAGGAACCTCGCAAAGCAACGCGTCGAAAAAAAGTAACACAGGAGCATTCCAACCCAAACGGGTAGTCTAGCCTAGTGATATGGGTGACAATATGTGTTGGGTCTCTACCAAAGGGATGGATGGACCCCCTCTTTCACATCATCTGCTTGGCAAAAGAAAACGCAAAACAATAACACAACCTTTCGCAAGTGTTACAGTGTTGGATTTGGTTATTTGTGGCTTTTCGATCTCTATCTCTCTATCTCTCTCTCTCTCTCTTTTGTGCTGCGCAGCTTAGGATCATAGTTAGCACATTCCCCGCGGCTTCCTACGAAGAGCAGCGGCACCGTGTGCAGCGCATGTTTCTTGGCCAAGTCCGCGACCTGAACACTTGCAACGACGGCATTCTTCAAGGAACTGACTCGTTCATAGCCTATCCGCTGAACTTGGACAGAGCTTCGCATGTTCCGCCTGGAAAGCGGCCTGAAAAGCATCCCGACTTTCTTTGGGGCGGGGAGGTGCATCAGGCTACCCTCACTTCCAGTAGCAAGAGCACTTCAGGCAACAACACTGAGCGCATAGACACCAGAAAGCAACACATCACTGAGCTTCAATAACCCGGACACTCAAAGCGGAGGGGCTTCTTTGAATGTTGAATTTCTGGGGAGCGAAAAGGCGTGTGTTGGTCGGAGTATATATGGTTTACGTGGCTCCTCCACCTGCGATCTGCATTGAGACTACCAGACTAGGCGCGCCAACCTTGCTTTGCAAGATGAAGGGACAAGCCATCCATGCAGGCCTCAGCCAACAGGCTTCCCTTTTCTCCTCCCTCTTCCTCAGCTGTTCCACAGCTCAGGGTGGGCGGGTGGGAAAAGCCGCGGCACAGGCACAAAACCTGGAGAAGCTGGGAGCAGCCAGCTCCAAACAACCAGCACACTGCTCCAACTAAACAAGGCCAAATCATGCCATATCTGGATGTTATATAGGCAGGTGCGAGGGTTGGTGTTCCTGCCTACCCCAACCAACCAACACCAGTACACAAATCAACAGTGGAATCCGATTCAATCGTTTTCCAGATTTTGTGCTTCCAAAGTTGGAGATTGTTTTCTTTTTGGTTCGCACAACTTGAGCATACATAAACAACAAGAAGACTTTTTGGGAGCCACTCCTAGCCACCGGCAGGTTCTAGTCTTTCCTTACATTGGCGCGCCCCAATTTTTCACACCAACCCATCAGGCGCCCCATGAGGTGAGTGGGTCCGCTTCACAACTTTGCCGAGCGACGGACTTGAATGCCATGAAATGGCTGCGCGGCCCGGTGAACACAGCGATGTCGAAGAGGATGAATTCAATGCATGGACTGTACCTGAGCTCAGCCCGCTGCCGCAAGCCCGCCAAGGCTGCCCACGAAAGGCGACAGCGACAAAAAAACGTATGAGGTTTATCAAATTCAATAAAAGAAAACAGTACATCTTACAAGTGTCTTCTCAGATGTTTCTATCATCAATACATGACCAAAACAACTAACTGCTATCATGTAAAAAATACACATGAAAAACATTGAACAGTAAAACATATCTTTGGATGCGGACTCTGATAGCACCCAGTTTTGCGGTTGTTTGATTGGTACATCTTGCCAAGGGCTTTTGGTCTTGCAGATTCTTGGGTGATCTACCACATCCTGGTATTGATTGCTACCCCTCCAGTTTGTGGAGAGGAGACACAAACAAGACTGTTGCGGGCAAAAGTCCTTTTGGGCCCAAAAGCATTCATTCCAAAATGATGCCGAAATACCACACTCCCACCTGCACTGGTCGTGCAAATGGCACTTCTCGCACCTCTGTGTGTGGATACTTCCCGCCGCATAGCTCTCCTTGGTTGGAAGCGGGAAACCACCTTCCGCATCCTTCATGGCTAGGAACAAGAAGCTAGGGGCTCCTGGCCTTGCTACTAGGAGCAAGGACGCTACTAGGGGCTCCTGGCATCGCTACTAGTAACAAGAAGCTACTAGTAAAGACTGTGATGGGCGAATCGGCGCTGGACACCGGGTGGCCAACAAGATTGCTTCCCGAGAGTGGCGCATGGCCTCGACATGGTCTCCGTCCAACTCGGAGTTTTCGATGTGTGTGGGACACTCTCTGATCAACCTGAACCACTCACGCCAATGTGAGAAAAAGTCGTTGACTCAACTCATATCCACCTGGCCTATCCCAAACAGAACAAAACTTATGGTATCATACTTACTGGTCAACAAGCCTCCCTCTTGCATGCAGTAGGCACATCCTTGCAAACCAAACGTAACTAACATACAAACGTACGAGTACATATTGGCAGCACCTGCTTTTTCACTCTCAAACGAACAGCATTAAAACATCGATCTGCTCAAATCCCCATTTATCTGTGCGATCTCAAGCAAACGCGTACCAAGACAAATCCGCTCTGACCAGCACCATTTTGTGTGTCAGGCAATCAACGAATAGATAGTCAATACCTGCCCCGCATCCATGTCACCCTGCAATATATTGCAAATTAGACACAGTTGGGCCAGTGCCGTGTTGGGTCATATTATGTTGAAAGTTTATCACTCCAACGCTTTCCCGGTGGGTCAAACCAGCATCCTGCTTTAGTTTCATCCCCCTGGGTCGGTTGATGCACAGTCCATGGGTACCGTTCTGCACTCCTCCGCGGTCTGCCCAGTCCGCCCAGCGTCCAAACAGGGCCACGTAGTCCGCGCCAGAACTCTCCAGCACCTCCCTGGCCAAGGCCAACAGTGGTGTTCGCAGCCGCGTCCTCATTCGTGCCACTGAGAGTGACCAGTTGTGGCAGAAAGCCTGCCCCCATTCCACCCCTGTGACATGAGGAACGCACAATTCATCACCGTGGGATCCAAGATCCAAACATCTAGAACTCAATGCATCACCCAGCTGCAACATGGAAAAGTGCCCGAAGAAGTCCTCCTCCTCCTGCCATGTGACTCGGGCTTTCAGCTGGGACTTCTATGACACAAGTAGTTATATACCCACTTGTTTGCATAGCAGCACCAAGTAAAACAAACATCATCTAGTCTTAGCAAGTCTTCCAAGGCTAGATAAGCTTAAATACTATAGTTACATTTTCAGGCCGACCCCCTTCCTTGAATATCTTGAATTGTAGGCGATCCATGAATGCCTCACCAAGGGGTCTTGGCCTTCTTGCAGCAGCCACGTCCGTTTTTGCCACAACCGCTTGCTTAACCAACAAAGCAGTCTCTGATTGCTCAGCCGGGCACCTCCAAGAAGCCCTTCCGCTTGGCGCATTTCATGCGCCCCGCGCGGTCCACGTGCACCGAGAAGTTGGCGCCGTGCACCTGCGGGCGATCGTGATCGGAGAGTGGAGACCAACAGGGGGGAAGTCACCTGCGTTGGCGAAAAGTCCTACAAAAACACCGAGGATCCGGGAGTTAATATGGGAGTTAGGTGGGAGTTAGGTGTTTAAATCCTGTTTCATCCACGGAAAAACACCTCTTACTCATGTTCAGTTTTCATGTTGACCAAATCACTGAACAGGGATTCAGGACTTTGTGTGGGGGTGTTTGTGTGTGGCAGGAAGGACATCCAAAACAGACATCCTCAATTCGTCTTGGGGCATCGTCTTGGGGCATCATGGGCATCATCCGTGTATGCGAAACACCGAGGAGTTTTGCTTCTCGTTCCTTTTGGTCCTTGATTGATGGGAGCTGGAAAAAGCACGCATCCGCCGCATCCAAAAAAAACACTGACACCGCGGACGGACTGGCGCAGCACGCGCAGCACGCGCAGTGGCCTTCTCAGTGACACACCACTCACCTCAGCGTTTCTGGCGAAGTGCTCATCTTCCAAACCCTCTTGCCAGGCTTGTCCGTTGATGTTTGAGGGGGAGTACATGAAGCATTAACCCCCGCAATCAGGTTATATCTGTGCCTGCCGTTGTTGAAAACCATAAATCTGGAGTACGAATCTACACTAACAGTGAGTCCTAGGTCATTGAAACCTTTTGATTTTTTGAGGCAGTCTGCAATTGCGATATGCTGTGACATCTGAATTGTTCTGGATTTTTTTAAGCAGCATCTCCCCAGCCAGGTTATTGAGCCTTCGCTTGTTCTCCTCTGAAACCTTTTTCAGGAAGGATCTTATGGAATTCTGATCTACGACGCTGTGACTTATGCTCATGATTCATCATTATTAATCTTTCACTCATCTCGACTCATCTAGTACATGTCCACCAAGGAAACGAGAATAATGAACGGGTTCCACTCAGAGCCACGGCTGAGTTCTCACCTAAAAACCTGCTACGCAGTTGAAGCACTGCGGTTCGATCGGTATTGGTTCAAACAAAACTGACAACCTCTTCTATCCTGATCAAAGGGCGCGTTCCTCCCTGAGTTTGGGGTCTTGCTGCAGGGCGGAACTTTCTCCAACTAAGTCGCTTTCCTCCGGACCTTTGCACGTGCCGTGGGCGATCTTCCCGTACCCCACGAAGCTCTCCATGCGGCGCTCGCTGCGCGCGGCGAGGGCAGGAGCCGCGCGGGGATCGAGCGTGTTCTGCACTGAGTTCTGCACGACATATCAGATGCATTCAGATGCAAGTGCTTGGTGAGTATCCGAAATTTGTCCCTGGATCTTTAGGGGATGAATGCCACGAAATCCTTTCTTGTGGAAGAAGGTGCAAGCGTTGTCCAATCACTACACGTCTTGGAGCGTAGCGGAAAGTGGCTTCACTTTCGCCATTCCTTAAGGATTTGCCTGGAATTTCTTCACCCCACCTAAATTGAGGTATTGATTTGCGCCCGGCTAAGTAAGTGCTGAAGCCAAAGAACAAGAATCAGCAACTGTTCCAATCACAATCACGCAATCAGCATCACAACCACTTCTCGGCATTTCTCAGGGATGGGTCACAAAGACCAGACCACCAGACCTGAGTGAGGCCTTTTTCAGATGCGCTCCCCTATTATTTGGCGTTTTCATTTTGTCTTTTGATGTCTTTTGTGTTCTATATAATCCGTTCTTTCCTCAGATGACTTTCCCAGCTCACCCCTGACCACACCGAAAACCACCCCCAACCACCCGTTGGGGTGCGCCTAAAAAGCTGCAGCTCCAGCTGCAACCCATGCACACCTCGAACAGGCCAACGTTGGCCGGTGTTGACATGCTGAAACAACGACTATCGCCATGCTGGGGCCTGTGGCGCCGAGGCTTTGTGGAGCATACATCCGAAAAAGCACAAACGACCTCGTACTCTCCAAGGTTAAGCCTCAGCCTCCTCTCTGAAGAAACGGGGACTGTACAGTGAGATCGTATCTGAAACCCAAACGCGATGTTCTATGACCTGCTCAGCAGTTGACGGTCCAGTATGTCATTTCAAAACAAAAGAAGGGTAATCATGGTGGCCAGCAGTTTTAACGATATGTATTATATATTCGCCCTAAATGAACCTCTGTCAAGTCACTCAACGAACCAGCATTCTATCACTCTGCTCAGCACCAGCCGATCCCCTACCCACATCTCCTCTCCTGCAGAAGCATCACTTCAGAACAACTCGATCACTGGATACTGTGGATCTCTATCACCTACCCTCGACGGGACTGACTCGCCAAGCTCCGGCTCTGACTTCGCATAAATACGCTTTACCCATGCCACCAACGGGCTCTAACCCTACCAACGGGACGACTGGACACACTGTCCGTGACGACGGCGTCGGAGTTCCGCGCGAGCGAACGGTTCACACACCGCCACGCCTGCCATGTCGAACTTGGGCGAGAACCTTATCGAACTTGTCACGGAACGTGGACCGGTGACAGTGGTAGATCAATAACATTTAAAGGAGGGTTGGAGGGTTGCTGCAGAACATGATGCCCAGGAAGAGGGGACCTGACGAGTTTGGTCTCCAAATGGTCCAAATGGTGAGAATGAAACCGCAACTCTGACCCTCGCAAGCAGACGTCCAAAGAATATGTTGCGATGTTGGCTTCCAGTCTGGAAGCGGTCCTTTCTGTATTTAAGCAAGCACAACTCTTTTCCCTCTGACGCATTCATCCATCTAAATCTATGCGGGAAAATCTGCTCACTGTTGGCACCCTACGTAGAACTAGAAACTGATGGAGCTGCTCCCGGCTCCCGAATCCACCGGTGGCCAAGCCGGAAACGACCAGTAATTCGACAAAAGATCGGTTCCGATTCAGTATGATCATGTCAATAGTCCCTTTGTCATTTCTAACCAAGGGGGTCGGACCCAAATCACCCATATATAGATGTTATTTGTGCGATCCTCATATATATATATATATATAATGGGTGTCCGATGGACATCTCTAAGTTGTATATATTTGTATATATATATATATGCCATCTCAATAGCACCAAAAAGGCGCATAAAGGCGCTCTGTCCACCGTCCGCGGCTTCTTCTTCATTCGCCTCCCAGCTGGGCTGCAATGAATTCATCCCAGAAAGCCAGCCAAACTCCCTCTGCCCATTCGGTGCATTCGGCCACCCTCCCAGCCAAACCCACGTCCTCCCGCGCACGTGGGCGCCAAACATCCCTCCCGGACCAGCACCGCCCTCTCTCGTTCTCGGCCCAGATCGGCCGTTGGATCGGTGGGCCCCTGAGCTTCCCCGCCAGCTGGTGTGCAAACTCGCCTTCGTGGCGCTGTTCGGCCCTGGTGGCGCGGTGCGGCGGGGGTGCCGCCTGCGGACCTTTTTTCGGTGCGGTTTTGTCCCGCTGGGTTGACTGAAGGGGTCACGGAAAAACGCTGGGTCCGGATGTAAACTACCACATCATTACATAGTACATAATAGCACATACAGTAATAGTACAGTACATGGTACACTCCCTGGAACAATCATGAAAGTGGAACGTGACATGGCCTCTTGGAAGACCCCTTTTTCTTCTACAAGCAGGTGGTTTTCCACGGTTTTCCACCTTCCATGCAACATGTTCAGGGAGTCTATGTGGGAGGCTTTTTCCACCTCAGCTCAGCTCTCGGAGCCCAAGTGGCGCAATCGCTTGGAGGCATCTTTGATGACCCAATCCTCGGGTGGCGCAATGGCGGTTGGCCCGATGGCGGGGCCCGAGGAGAGGTGAAAACGGGTCGGAAACACCGGGGGGCCACGGGCCCCCAAGGAATGCCAAAAGTGAAACAGGAAGGGCAACAAAACGCTTTGTTTGGGATGGTTTTTGGAAGTTGCTTTGGAATGTTTTGGATGCCTTTGGGGTGTCAAATTAAGGCAAGTAGAACCAAACTTACTCAAACCTGTACAATTCAAAAACTGTGGGGTATCTCCAATACTCTCCATATACACCAAGCCATGCCCCACCAGCAATGGATGATCATGAGAAAGGCCACCAAGAGAAAACGTTGTTTCTCAGTACATCGTTCCGATGATCTTCATGGTTCTTCACTGCCTAAGCCGGTCATGGAACCCATGGAATCTCCCCACGTTCGCCATGTTCTTCTCTCAAGGCTCGACGCGGCGGGTGGCGATGTTCTCGACTTCCATGAGAGCAGTGCGCATCTGCAGGTTCTCCTGAAAAAAAGCGTATGTTATAACACAACATAATTATGTATATATATATATATATATGATCCCAAACAATCCATGTATGCGATGCAATATTATACTGTATATAATTTATAATTGTACATACACCTACAGTACATTGAACCTTACAGCATCTGAAAACCACATTCTTGGTATGCAAATTTGGGCGAGGATAGGAGCTTGTTTCGCTGGTTGGGATGACCTTTGACCTTCTTTCGAGAACTTGCAAAGCTACTAGTAACAAGTAGCTACTTGGGGCTCCTGGCATCGCTACTAGGAGCAAGGACGCTACTAGGGACTCCTGGCCGTACTACTAGGAGCAAGTAGCTACTAGTAACAAGTAAACTTGTCATCACGGCTTTTCACAGACTTGCTAAAGAGACTGCACGGGTCTGGAGACATGGACCCTCGCTTTCCAGGACGGTCTTACCCCGTGGAAAACTAACATGGACCCTGAAAGCCACTGGTTTTGATGGCGAAAGCATCAGTTGGACAATGGCCGTGACCCTCCTCCTGCCTTGGATTTGCGGGTGGGCAATGTTCAACTGTGGGACGGACCCTCTCCATCAACATCGTGCTCCCCAACTCCGAATTTTGTCAATGATGTTGCTGAAAAATCTGAAGCAAACAATTAGCAGACATAACCATTACATAACCAAACCATCCTGCAACAAACCGCTCTGATCAACACTTGGGTGTGCAGTAAAATAGGGAGACCTCCCAGGCAACGACCCCTTGGAAGGTTCGGGAAATAGACCAAAGCCCAGTGGTTGAGGGTCCCCTATTAAAATACACACCCACTTTGACCGCTCTGATCAACGCCCTCCTGGTCGATGCCATCTAATCGGCCATTCCTGGAAGCTGGCTGCCAGACTCAAACATGGAAGGACTGGAAGATTGGCCGACATCAAGTGGTAGTTGTTCGGATGTGTTCAAATCTTTTGAGGGTCAATGTAGGCATGTCATAGATGGATTCTTTGGGATATATTAATATATAATATATATATATATAGCATATTATATATATAGCTCAACTTATATTGGATCGATTTGGTGATGCTTTAAGGGTCAATGTGGCATTCCAGTTCCCGGATGCTTTGGGAGAGGGACCACATTGGTCGACCCAGCGGGTCACTGGACCTTCTCCATCCTTCTCCCCTACACCATCCTATCACCTGTCACTGCCATGATTGGGGGGAACAAAGCTAGTTTCAGGCACAAATGATGGTCTCAAAATGTCTCAAAATTCAGAATGTATAATGTACAGTAGCAGGCTTGGCACATGTGGTGACCACCAAGTTTCGAGCTCTTACTGGTGGTGCTTCTCATGGTGGTTCATGAAGGTGATGCTTCTCTCGCGAATGAACAGCTACCTCTTTTGGCCCCGGAAAACACCACTGGAAAGCGAAAACAAACAAATCACGAACACTCGAAGAATCAGCCTTTCAGTCCCAGGGACGCTTCGGTCTTGTAATCCTCCAAGTTCTGATTGGTCTCATCACCTTGGGTTCTCTGCATCTTGGTCTCATCAAATGACCACATCGATCATCAAAGGGGGAGGGTGGTCTAGGGCATGTGCATTTGCCGTTTGCGGTGTCCAAACAACCAAAGGCAGTACTTTGATGTACTTGGCCTAATTGGGTGGTGCGGGAGGTCGCCATACAAGAGAAGACCCCCAAACTCAACGGATGGGGACCTCGCCACCGGTGAACCACCGATCTCATGGATCCCATGGCCGGCGTTCAGCGAGAAAGCCATGTCATTTCAGATCCATCCGAAGGGTCAGTTCGGAGTTCGTAGCGTCCTTGCTCCGTTCGTAACGATGCCAGGAGCCCCTAGTAGCTTCTTGCTCCTAGTGGCAATGCCAGGAGCCCCTAGTAGCGAACATTGTTCCTAGTAGTAAGGCCAGGAGCCCCGTTCGTAGCGTCCGATCGCTCCTTTCGTGGAATTCGACATGTTCCACGATGTTCCACGCTCCTCTCTGAAGTGAGGCAGGGGGCATGGCGCTCTCGGTGTTTTCAGGTGGTAGGGTCGATGACACAACTTGACCTGCTTGACGCTGTCAAGCCCCAGTAGGAGAGTCGAACAAACACTTGGGTCCTAACTGTTCCACTGGAACGTTGTCTTTGCTTCACAGGGTGACCACATGGGGAAAAAGGAAGGGGGAGCCCCCAGTGTTCCGGGCCCAGCTGGAGTACACCCTGCAGCACATCCTGCAGCACAGCCTGGGGCCCGCGGGCGCAAATTCTCAGCATCCCGCGCTGCACTCTCCGTGAGTTCCTGCAGAGGGAACGGGTCGCAAGAGCCGCCACGCAAAGCTCGGAGTGGTGGCAGTGGTGAGCGTCATTGAAACAATACCAGCAACATCGCTACAAAAGCAGTAAAGAAATCAAAGGAGCAAGCTCGAAGTTCGTGACATCTCGGGCGAACGACCAGCAAATCGCCGCAATCGCGGGCCTGTGAACAGGATGAAGTCTAAGAACGGGGTACAATAACAGCTCACGCTGTCGTGTTCAATCAGAACACCAAACTCCCTCCATCCTTCCATCAGATAAGATTGGACAGACGTTCCTCAAACATCCTCAAACCAAAAACAATCAGCATATATAAATGCCTCTGATTCAGTCCTTTCATTCCTTTCCACCCTTGCTCCACTCTCGAGTGACCCATGGCTCCTGAAGGAGCTCACTGGTCCGATCCAACTTCAGCCTGAAGACCCGCGGCAGTCGGGCACCCTACACTGTGTGGACCGAACCGAACCAAACTCGCGAACTGTTCATCGAACTGAAGACACGGGTTTCCCCCGGTGAACGGGTCATGTGACGCTTGCCCAAGAGCTTAAGAGCCCAAGAAACAACGGTTGACACTTGGTTTATCTTGGGTTTGGTTTGATTTGGTACCGGAAGCTGCGAAAGGTTAAATACCATTCACATCCATTCACGATCCTACACATCTTTCCAAATCAAAACATGCACTCTGTGTCCAGCCTGAAGTGAGGCACATATGAAACACACTCTCTACGCCCACAAACTCAGGATGGCCACCAAAACCTGATAAAGCCCTTTTTCAAGAGAATACCCTCCCGTCCAACAAACATGGAAGTGGAACATGGCCCCGAAAGGAAGACGGAATTCCTGGGTGAACAGGCTGTATTCCACTTCCATGATTGTTTCAGGGAGGGTACCAGCACCAACCACCATGGGACATGAACTCCATGGGCCTGGAGGTTATCGGTGAAGTGAAAGCGTTCACCCCTTTTTACGTGGGTTATTGTTCATGTCATGGCCATGGGTTAGTAGGACTTGGTTGGCCTATGACTCGAGTTGGTCATCGGAGAATCTTCCCTCCTGACCCACGGAACGTGTCAGGAACCTGTCAGGCTTCTTGTGAAAAAAGAACACGGAAATCGAACCAAGTTCTGCGAAAATGAAGACCTTCTCGCGAAGTATCTGAGAAGCTTTTTTGTGCGAAAAGGGCTGCGCCCTCCGACTTCAGGAGGGGCTTGCTGAAGCCAGGTGTCCCGGCCAAATCTCACTTTCAGCGCGCTGTTGCTTCTCATCACGCAGGCCTTGCGCCTTGCCTTGCTCCTCATTGAAGTCCTCCGGCTAGAGCTGGGAGGGACAATGACCTTGTATGAAAGCAGGCTGTCCACTTGGTGTTCACATTCAAATCAACCCAGGGTTATGAATGGCAGTGTTGTCTTCCCTGTTCCAATCTGCGTCAGTCCCGTTGAACAACACAGTCGAATTTGGAACACGATTTTTCACCGACTTCGCTGCAATGCTTAGTTTTGGGGGAACGGTAAGTCGTTTCGTCATAAAACGACATGTACCATGGAAGGCACCACATGTTCCATGCGCTTTGTGGTGCCTTTGCTCATATATGCTTATATAATGTACAGTACATAATCATATGCTACCTCAAGCAGCTTTGCTCCGTCTCTGGCGGCCCCCCAGCACGAATCCACAAAGAATTCACCATGCCAGCTCTGCTAGCATGTTGGGTTTCTGTGTACATTGAAGATATCATGCATGTCGTTGATATGTGGCAATCCTGAACTGTGTCTGTTTATGAGGTTGTGATCAAGTGCAATTGGGTGCTGAGTTATGTGTTGCGATGCAGTGCAGTGCAGTCTTACGTAAGGACTGCATGGTGATTTGTGGGGAGTCCTGTGCTGCAAAGTTCAATGTTGATTTGCAATGATCTTGGATTGTAGTATAGCGAAGCAATGTCTTTGGCCAAGCCGTTACAGTATTTGAATTTGTTTTGTGCTCGTGTCAAAACTAGGCTTTACCCTGGACAACCCCAACCCCATATGGCATGTCTGTGTGACCGCCAATTCTCCCCCGACTCCGTGGCTTTCGCCCGTCCTTCAGGGTCTTTTCCATGGCTGCCTGCAGCTGATCCAGCTTCTGCTCCACCTCCGTAGTGAAAAGTGCAAGCGTAGCGAAAAGGTGCATCTCTCGGTGCATCTCTAAGACCGCTCCACTCCAGATGTTTTCTGCGTTTTGCCTTTTAAACCGCTGTCATGCTTCCAGCAGCTAGTTTGGGCACTTCTTCAAGAAATATGAAAAGACCCAATGAACATGATGATCCCCAATCAGAAAAAAGCTTTTGCGTGGCCAAATTATCTACTCGCGGGTCGCCATTGCGATTTCGGGGATTCTCTATCATAGGAGGAGAACTTGGGAATCTCAATTTAGACCTAGAACTCCAGAGTGCACGTCTGAAAATACTCACAAAGCGTCTCCATTTCATCGGTCTACTATCTGTCAGGCGCCAAGAAGAGACCATCTTCACCTTCCACTTCCTAACTCTCGTTCGTATTATATATTCTTCCCAACTGCACCAACCGCCACGTCCTTGCACCTCCTTACCGTTTCTCGACCCCCCCCCCCCCCCCGTCGTTCCACGGCATCTCTCACCGCACACCGCGTCGAATGCTTCGCTTCGCTTCGAAAACGCCTCGAGTCCGAGACCGAAGCTCGGTCCAAAGCTCGGTCGACCGGGCCTCCTTGGCCGCCTCGGCCATGGCGGTGTCCAACTGACTTCGCTGATCCGAGAGGTTCGCCTTGCCCTGCCGGTCCGACGTCGTTGTTCCATGGGGCAGAAATGGTGTGGTTGGCTGTGCTTGGTTGGCTTGGATGGTTTGTTGGTAGATTGTTTTCCTCGATTGTTGCCCTTTCGTGCATGATAAACAGATGTTGAAACATGTCTAGCACGGTGTTTGTCGTTTGGCCTACCGTGAATACCAAAGAAGAAGACGGGGAGATTTGACTTACTTGTTGAAGTGAATACAAGCCAGATTGCTACTTGCCTTTGGTCTCAAGGACTTCACAACCGCTTCTTCCAACTCTTGAAACACCTTTAAGATCCTTTTAAAAGTGTGTAGTATACTGTGGTGTGTCCAGCACGATTCTCTGGTTGTGTTGCTCCAAGCATCCCGTTCGTTCTTCGACTAAGCATGTTCTGGACTGTGGTTGGACTCCTTCTTCGTCGAAGCTCGGAGTTGGATTCCTGCTGGGCTGCGACTCGCTGGTCCAGAGTCCTGCATGCCCTGCAGGTTCCAATTTTTTCCATGCAAACGACGATACATCTGATGAATACCATCTCCTTGGGCTTCACCAGTGACCTGTCCGTGTCCAGCTCTCCTCGTCCTTCCCTCCAAACTCCCTCATCCCTCGCTGCCCGCTCGCTCGATCCGTCGAACCCTTCCGTCGGTGGCCCCCGTCGATCGATCCGTCGCCTCTTGGGACTTGGTCTCAGCAAACTTGGTCATGTCCTCGGATCGGTGAGACCAAGGAAGATGAAAGGAATGAAAGGATGTGAAAGGAATGAAGATGAATCACTTCCTTTGGATCGGTGAAAGAGATGAGGAATCACATCACTGCCTTCGAAATGAAGGAAGAACCTATCTTCCTCACCGGGCAGGTTCAAGCACCTCTAGTTTTCACTCACAAAGCATGTTGAAGTAAGACCAGCCTTTGGGGATCTTTGCAAGCGAGGCCCAGGAAGATTGGACAGACTTGAAACATGTCTCCCGTTGGTGGCTGGGGCTCTGCCTCACGACAAGCGCCCTTGGAGTCGGAGTCTGATTGCGGTCGAAAGTGCGAGCACATCGAACTCAACCTCAACATGCCATCCAAAAAACAGGTGATCCGGAAAAAATGGGGGGACCAACATGGACCAACAATATGGATCTTCCCAAACATGTCAAGCTGTGTCGAACTGTAATGCCAACTGTTGATGAAAATAAACGACCAAACCAGAATGGTGTTACATCTCAACAAAGGGTGGAACCCTCGGCATTAATTATATATTACATATTATTATATATATACACACATTTTTTAAAATTTATGTATATACACACACATATTATATATATATATATATTCTCAGCCTTCCCCGCCACATCCATCTTCATGGCGTCGATCAAACCTCTCAGCCCTCTCAGCCTGCCGGGCCCAAAACCAGACACCTGTTGGCCCCCGGAAAACCGGTTTCCACCAGGCCCAGGTGGTGGTGTTGGGGCCTTGAGTTTTGGTGGTCATGGTTGGTGTGAGGATGTGTGAGGCAAGGTCTCATTGGCTCATGAATGTAGATGTTTGGTCAAAAACTCAAGACGGACTCAAAGTTGATGTGACCATCACCATCAACAATATGGAGATGGTATGGAGTATGACAAATGTGATTCAACAAATGAATATGGAGATGTTTGCATCCACTTGCCGCCTAGCATCTTCCCGGGTGGTAAGGAATTCCTTGTCGATGCGCTCGCACAGCGCTGCCAGTTCGTCCGCCAACGCCTTCCTGCAAAGAACCGGGAGGACCATCCAAGGCGCTTTGAAATCTCCATCCTTGGCTCGATATGTGTTTGTTTGCTTTTAACAGCAAAGTATTTATAGGGGCCCCTATGCTTGGACAAGCCTCTGTAAGGCTTGACCTTGTGAAGGAACATAGCCACACCCCTCCTTCCATGCAGAACAACCACATGACGATCATCACATAGTTGCCCCCCACTGGGCCAGAATTTGTTCGGCTTCATGACTGCCCGTAGGTTTTTTGATCCGGGATTTCTCCAGTCAGTTTCTCAATCCCTTCGTTCACCCCAAGACCTTAGAACTATCTTCAGAGGCGAGGGATGTTCAAATGACTGCAGTCGATTAACTTTTTGATTTTAATCATCCATTTAAACAAATATATATATATATATTATATATAGCACAAAATAGATTTCACATAATTTCACCCAGTAGTTTTTGTCCAGCTCAAAACAAGCAGCCCTCTTTCTCTCAGCACCTCAGTCACCCAAAAGAGAATCGGCGAAAAAAGGCTCCGCACCGTACATCGGAATCCACGTTCTCCACCTTCTGGCTCAGATTGCTTTGGGCCTCGCGGAGAAGCATTTCTCCGGATGCAGTGAGGAGCATTCTTTCGGATGGGGATAGGATAGGCCAAGTGATCCAGTTTTGGAGGCCTGGAGCTAGGGGTGCTGGATGGTTGACCCGCGCCGAAATCTGCCAAAACGGTATGTGTGTGTGCTTCCTTCAGTGGGAGGATACTTTCTCGGAGCGACCGTCAATCCGTGAGCTAAATTGTAAATTGCTGTAATTAGCAAGTGCTCAGCTTCTCAGTATCTGCGCCGGACATTTGTTTGGTTGCTGAAACCGCAACTCTACAGCGCCGGTGTTGGTTTTGCCATCAGGAGTTGTTTTGGTTTCAGCCGAAGATTTCACCGAAGTAGAGTCTTGGGGGTAGGCCTTTGGTAAAGCACCGGATTGAGTCAAGGCAACTTTTGTGCAAAAACAAAGATTGCGGACAACATTTGTGCAGGACAATGTGAATCGGTCCAAAGTGTTGATGAACCACCATTGTCTTTGTAATGTGTTTGTACGCCAATACCGCCAATAATGCTGGGCATGTGCTTCACAGCTACTGTATACGGGAACAAACTGCTGCAGCCATCATCCTGGTGCATCTTTGGGGGAACCTGAACATTGCCAAATGAACAAAATCGGTCGCTATGATATATGTGTGTGTGATGGAGACCACTGAGACCACCACAATGGATCGGCAATCCGTGGATTCAGTCATAATGCTTCACAAGCACCGGAGGGGGTGGTTGGGGGCGGACGGAGAAGCGAAGGACGGCACGGAGAACGCGGCGGACGACTCGGACGACGTTGCCATCTGAGCGAGACCTGCATCAACTTGTCCTCGGTGCCTTTCAGCAAACCCACCATCTCGCCCCGAAACTGGTTCAGCCTGGGTGGGCACGCAGGAACATCCACTGCGGAACACGAGCGGGTGAGGGTGGGTCCTCTTTTATTCCTGGCGGGTTGATAAACATTGGTCCAGTGTATAGTTGTGTAGGTGGCACATTGCGCCAGCCGCAAGTATCATGTGTTTGTGCATACTTCTATTCTATTATCTTGTATTCAGTCCTCTTCGGAACAACAACTGTCTTTGACCGGTCTTATTATATAGTGGCTTTGTCTGCAATCCTCGTGACCACGGCTGAACATCGCCACTTGCCACCTGATTTGTTTGATTCAGTTTGACAGTGCTTCGATTGTTGTGGGACCCGGCACTCTTGACAAGTTGCATGGAACCCTAGACATGTCTTCTCACTACAACTGTTCTATCGAATTTTTGCATCCACATCCACATCCCGAGCGGATACCTGCCTGTCGTCGGTGTAGGTCTTGGAGTCGCTCCCGCAGCGTGCGATGCCCTCCGTGGCCGTGGAGGCATTGCTGGCCATCTGATCATTGGCCTGGACATGGGCTATCGTGCGCAAAGGGTTTTCTGTGCGCCAAGTAGTAGGTCTTGGGTCTCCCAAGCCATCGGAATGGCTGGAATCACATCGGCAGAACTACTCCTCGTCATGCGGAAAACTTTATGCTCCAAAATCGCTCCACTCGCATGAATTCCACGGAGATGGGTTGGATAATACCTATATAGGAAAGTGGGATGTCAAGAGAGATCCTCCTCCGCCAGTATGCTTCTTTCTCCTCTATAGGTTCTCCCTCCCACCTAACCATCCAGAACAACGATCATCGAGGACCTCTTCTAATTTCAGTGATGAGCTTTGGATTGAAATCCTAAGTGCAGGGCATCAATCAACCATAATCAACCCATAAGTGTGTGTGCGTGTGTGTTTGTGTCTGGACATGTCTGGACGTGTTCGAACCTCTCCTCTGCTATCACTCCAGGCTTCTCCCAGCATTCCCCGGACTCCACGGCACCTTCTGGAGATCTCCCTTCAAGGTGGTCTCGGAGGACCTCGTGGTCTTCCCACGGCCCGACCCAGCCGTGGGATCGGAACGCCGGGGGAGTTGAGATGGTGGTCTGAGCCGGCAAGACCAACGGTGAAACCAACTGGCGTGACTTGGGTGACGGCCGGGCCCCTGGTTCATCCAGAATCGGAAAGCACTGGATATGTCTTAAAGAGAACGCGTGAGGGGTCTATTGGCAATTGGATTCTCCATGTTTCTCCTATGTCATGGAAGCCTTCTGAGCCTGAACACGTCAGTCTCATTGGACCTCGCGGGGAAGTCCGCCTTCCAGACAGGTCCGAATCAACTGTGGCCAAGACTGTGAATCGCTCCGAGAGGCCCTGGGGGTCTGTGCCTTTGTTGCTGTGTTTCTTTTTTCATACCCACGACGGGAGGATATGTTGATTCAATTCCCATCTCTCTGTAGACAGATCTGCAATGATACGAATGTTCTGAACGCACCACACATGCTTTTGGGATGTGTTTGGGTTAATTTGAGAAGACGGCCTCAAGGCTTCATCTCCAAAAAAGAACGATAAGTGCCATCCACTTCCATGTCTTCGTCCGAGTGTACATCTCAATTGGTCACTTGCTTCGTTTTGTTTCAACTGGCGAAGAATGTCATGGTGAGTATTCCCTCCCACAAACGACAGCAGTGGAGAACCCCCTTCTCTTCTTTGTGGAGAGAGCAAATCCCAAGACGATGCCATTCACAAAAGCATGTTGGAGAACGAACGACTCTGAGAAAACCAACTCAAATTCCTCTTGCACTCCCTGGGAGAAACCGCTTGGCCGCTTGGCTGCGGCCAAGGCGCTTCAGTGCCTGGCCCAGCTTCGCCTCCGTTTGCTTCAACTGGCGGCGCTGCGCAGGCTGCGCCGGAGCCCAGTCGGGAAGGGGCTCGACGCACGAGTGGAGCACGAGGAGTGGACTCGTGCTTGCTTCGTGTCTCAGAGTGTAGGGGAGTCTCAGTGTGTGAGTCCGGCTTAGGATCAAGAGTCCAGAGGGTTAGGATCCAGAGGCTTAGGATGTGATATGGAGAGTCCAAAGCCTTAGGTTCAAGAGGTGAAGTGTTCCAGTGAAGAGCTTTCTTCAGCGCAAGGCATGGCGGAGTAACGGAGTGTTCCTTCTGACCAGGTTTCACACGTGAGAAGCTGTTGACGTGTGATGACGTGTGGGAACTGTCCGCTTGTACCAGAACAACAAGAACCAAAAGGCAAAAAGGACTCAAACCAATAAAATCCAATAAACATCAACAACATTCAACAACAACTCCTTTGGGAGGGCTTGGGAAATGCCAAGATCGAGTTGATGTTCTCGTATGATTCTTCTTAAGATTTCATGACTTTATGTCTTTGTCTTTGGTGAGCAGCCAAACAAACTGAAGTAACCAAACCCAAACCCTAGACAAAGATTGCCTCACAAACGATGTGTGTTTCTGGTTCACATGCGCTTTGTATTGGCAAATTCCCACCAAACCTCCAGGACGAGCTGCCCAAGACCGTCCGAAACCCCGTGAGCTGAAGAGACATTTGATTTGGCGCAAAACGCGTCGGGGCCCTCTGGCGGTTCAGGCACGGTCAACCTCCCCTGTATCCTCTCACACCGTAAATGTGGATGGTTTCCTGTCACACCCGTAAAGTGCGTGGTCAAGAATGCTCCAACAGTTACAACCTCTTTTCTTGCCACAAGTCTCCACCAAAGGTATCCCCTCCTTTGGTCACTCGATGTGGGATTCAATGTTCCAGCTCTGCTTCCCATTCTGAAGAGCTCCCTCTGTTTTCACCAAGCCACCCTCCCCGGACAGCCCTATCATCCCAATCATCCCAGTGCACTGGTGAGAGCGCCGAAGCCGCCGCGAGCTCCGCGTCGCCGCCGCGAGCTCCGAAGCCGCCTGGCCCTCGAGCTTCTTCACTGCATCGGCCAACTCGTCCGCCGTGGCATAGACGGGCTTCGGCATGGTGACGCCCGGGCGACCACTGCCTACGTTGGAACCGTTGGGTCGAAGGTGATCGGCCAAAATGAGATTCAAATTAAGTCATGTTAAACTATGTTAAACTTACTTAAACTCCACAAGTTGTTTGTTAGATCCTTTCTATCTAGAATCTAGATACTTCGAGACCACTATGAGTGGTACTCTTCGTTCTAGCAGCTGCGGCTGCGGGAGCAAAAGTGGGGAAGACGCTCCCAGAACATGTGAAGCGTTTCCCCTCTCAAGGTTCCCTTCAGAGAGTCGTTCAGCCAAACATGCCGAGAAAACACCTCCTTATACAAACTCGCTGAGGGGATCTTGATCACAAGCTTCTCCCAGGTCATCCATGGTCATCCAACAACTCGGGAGCAGCTCTGCGTCGGTGTCTGCACAGCTAATCCTCCCGCAATCCCTGCCTGTGGAATCTCGATCGATTTCACGTAAAAGGCCCCCAGATCGCTGGCTGAACGATGTAAAGCTCAAATCCAAAAAGTGTGTCGAACTTGGTTAAATTTGGGCGCCCAAATGTTGAACGATGCAAAACCACGGGCGTTATTTGTCCATCGATGTGTCCAGCTGTTGCGATCGACTCTCTTGACCTGATGGAACGGTTTTCATCGATCGAGGCCCTCTTTGAGGGCTTGATCTCACAAAGGCTGGAACGGCGAAGGACGGACTCGACTCCCGTTGGATGCCCAAACACTTCAAAGTGAAGTAGGACGAACGTTGGCCTTGTCATGAGGACATATAAATCAAAGGCAGTGTTGTTCTCACAATCACAAGTTCTCATCCAAATTTGGTTCCAGTACTGACGTGCAAAACCGGAGGCTTTGCTTTCGAAACCCAGACTACTAGGGAAACGGGAAACATGCAAAAAGCAGGTCAAAAGAGCCGGGAAAACCTGCGAGCGCGCAGCAGGTGCTGCTGTTTTCCACGTGTCCTCCTGCTCCTTCATCAAGTACATTGGACATTGATAGAATCTGACAGAATATCCCAATTATATACATCCAATTACATCCAAGTACCCACCGTCCAGCGGTTTTCATCGTCCAACTCCCAAGGTCGCTCAGGGACCCTCCCTCCTGATCGAACCCTCCCTCCTTCCGACCACCGAAGCCGTGTGGTCCACGGCCACGCCGAAAGCGCTGGTTTGGCCAAGGAACCAAGAGAGGTTAAGTGACCTTATAGGACCCTACTGGGGTACCTATGGGATAGTCTATATGGTTCTTCAACCTCTGTTGGAAGTGGTCCCACAAAAGCAGTTCCTCTTCCCCGTTTTCGCGTCTTGCTTTCCTCCGTCTTTTCGCTGCAATCGCACGCCCTGAGGTCGGGGATGTTCTTCATCCGCCGGGCAAAGCGAGGACCCAAGCTCAGTACCGAGAAACAACTGGCACTGGCCTACTACCAACGGGATCCTTGAGGAGAGGAATTATATCTGACAATATTCTTGAACATGACGAGAGATTCGTGCCTTCGGTCTCAAGGATGATCAATTCATGAGTCATCAGACCGAACGCCCCGTCATCGTCATCGGCGGATGTGCCATCGGCAGATGGCAGATGTGCACCCCACTCAAGGATCCCGGACTACAACGACCACACTTTGTGGGTCAGACGGGCGTCTCAAACAAGAGGACCCTGTCTTTCTTCAGAACCTATTTCTTTCAATGCATTCTGTCTTTGACCCAAACTTGCAGTTTTTTTGAACAACGATCCAATCCCATTCACCAAAGCTTGCTCCCAAACCTCAGGCTATCTATCACAACTTGATGAAAACGCATAGGCTTTCTACCCCGACGGCTTTTACAGTTTCTCTTCCGCCCTCTCCGCTGGGTGAAAACTCCTCTTGCCCATCACCTGTGGCCGGGTTGATGGTCCGTCCTCCTTTCGATGCATCTTTACATGCGGCATGTCTGCTAGTATGTATGTTAAATGACGGATGCACAGGGACGCAGTGACCTTTGCCAAGTACGTCCGAACATGTCCGGTGTGATCAACCGTCCTGGTTTCATCGTTTCACAGAAATCGAGTCCGTAAAGCGTACAAACACCTATACAGATCAAGCATTTTCCACATCTTGTCCATGCTCCCAATGATCAACTCTTGGGAAGCTGCTCGAAGCTCCTGTATATTTAAATTGTTGTGCAGATGATACAATTACTATATTTCCTCAAAACCATTGGCTCGAAGCTCCCAAGTAGTCCATTTACATGGGTCCAAAAACATTCGCACTCGTCCTCTTCACTCGTTCTCTGCCTCCGCTGAGAACGGAGCCCGAGGAGGCCCTATGAGGCCTCGGTCGCTGCAGACCCGAAGCACCGGCACGGGTGGGTTCGTTTCTTCGGGTTGGGGTGAAGCACCGGTTGGTGAACTTCAGTTCGGTTGGGGAGGTTGTTTCGAGGCGAAAGAGACCCAACCTATGACTCTTGCGTTCGACTCTGCAACCATCCTCTCTGGAGGAGATGTGAAGGAAGGTGCTGCTGGGATGTCTTTTACCCGATCCATATATGGATCCATCATGATTCATCGTTGACCCAGTCTTTCGTGACCCGTCATAGAACACGTTTCAAGCCCCAAAGAAACCATGGCCTCCTTTCTCTTTCGGAACTTCACCTCTGAAAACATCTCACATCATCTCCCACTTCAGTGCATTTCTTCGCCATCAAGTCTTCACAGTGTTCACCCGCTCACCTCGGCGTCTGTGAAATCCTTCGTTTGGGGCCGCCCACGTACATCACGTAGCGATGCGGGTTCGCGTTGCGACTGCTGTACGGCGGCCTGAGCTCGCACCGGCGTGTCACCAGGGCTAGGAATCTGGAGGATTTGGGTGTCAACGGTGGTGATGATGGCGGTTGCTGGCAAGAACCGCTAGAATCCACTAGAAGAATCAAGCAAGATCAATGAATCAATCAATCTGGTGATGGTTCTTCTACATGCTTCTTCTCCGCAGATTTCACAAAAGAAAACAACTCGACAAAAACGCGGCCAAGAGGCTGTGGATGCGGATCTTTCCATGCCACCCCGCCCTTCCTTCCAAACACCCGAAGACGTCGAAGAAGGCGACGGTTTCCGCCCGTGGACGGCGACGGAGCAAGGTGACCGGGGCCGGATGTCCCCGGTGATGCCAAATTGGCCAGGCACTGGCCACGGACTAGGGTGGATCCCCATGAATCAAGCAAGGCCGTAAAAAAGGCCGTGCTATGTAACAAGCCTTTCTGATCTTTCTGGGCAAAATGCTAAAAATATATGTTCAAATAGAGCATCTGTTGGTTGAACTCCGTCGCCCGGTTCTGGCCACATAGCTCGGCGCGAGCTAGACTTCTCACTGTTTCGGCGGGCGAAGATCGTGTTTCATGCTCATCCGAGCACACCGAGCAAAATGCTTCAAACCAAAGGATCACTGACAGACCATGCCAAACATCTATTGGGTGTCCAATCTGGGTTTGTCTTGAATGACTCACGTACAGAAAACAACAAAAATGCACCCATCTTCGGAGATCCCTCTTTTGGCGGCGATCCATTGACTCGACCATTCTACGACACCTATTGGACGGGGGCCACTTACAGGCCCCGGACCTCACGAAAAATGTCAAACTGTATGATGTGATGTCTTTGAATACAACAATATGTTGTATAAATATGCTGGTGATGTCTAGGCCGTTCGGCTCAAAACACGACTTTCATTTACGAGAAACTGACGCGACAATAGTCAAAAGTATCCAAAAGTTACGTGTCACTCGAGACGATCTGACGAGAGAGGATCAATTTTTTAGCACGCTTTCCGCGCGCAAATCAACACATGAAAGCAAAAACATGCGAGTCATTGGTATCTCTATGAATTTGTCATCCCAGGTCACGGCTAACCATAAAACATACAATTACCATAAGCTGAAAACCAATCATCCACAGAAACCTCTTTGGGAACCCCCCCCGGGCCTTGATGTCCCAGTGGACATGGGCCTTGCGAGGACTCTCTGCTGAGCGTCGGTGCGGTGTGTGTGTGTGTGTGTCGCCGCACGTCGCGGCAGTTTGAAGGCATTTCCAAGGTTGATTACCCTCAAGCACGTCATTGAGGTACGCCGTACGCCTATTCCCAACTTCCCCATCCCAGCCCAGTTGGTATGGATGTGGCTGGAAAACGAAGGGATGTAGGACCGCCAACTGATGATTTGAAAAAAGGATCCAGAATGGTTTTACATCTCCATAAAGGAGGCTTGTCTACATGACCGTAATCCATGGGGGTAGTCCATGGGGTTGTTTTGTGTCCTTCTTCATCCGCGCCAGCTCCACAGCCAAGTGACCCCACCCTCAGACCCCCCCCACCCTCGCGTTGTCGCTGGTCCAGGGGCGCCGTGCCTTTTGGGCGCTTTCAAGTCGTGGAAAGTTTTATACCTGGAGGTTTTTGGGTGAATGGAGTAGATCTCGGTGTCGAGCCGGTGACATGAAGCGTCGCATGAAAGTTACTCTAAACCAGGAAAGTCCTAGCAACACATCCGGGGACCAGCAAACCCCCATGGCACAGACCGCCACGACCGGTAGCCCGGCAAAGTCCTTGCAATCAAGATTTCCCAATGGCACAGCGTGCTTGATGCCCATAGAAATCACGTATTTTGTATGTGGTTTTGGTGGGACTTCGCATGGCACAGCGCCAAGGAACATGGCTTTGTCATGCTTTGTCACGAACCTGTTTTGGATGGAAACACTGTGGTTTGCATGGCAGGGCCTACTACCTGTCAATGTCTTTCATCCTAAGAACCAGCATGGCACAAAGGTTTCATGGTAACCTGGACATGGTACCCACCGATGGGAAAGCAACTAACCTTTCTGATCCTAAATTGATCTTTGGGTCGAACTGCTTGGCACAGATGTGGTGAGTTCAGGACATGGCCCACCAAACCATTCAGCGACAGCGAGCAAAGATTGTTTTCTCACTTTGCTCTTCGCACCTTGCTGGGTCTCACGAACCTGCACTTCCGGTTCTCTTCCCAA